AATAAACGAGCACCTTGTTAGGGCCGTGAGGGCCGGCTGTTTGGAGACGGGGTGCAGAGGTGTGGGCCGGGAGGCCGGTCTGCCCGTCACATCGGGGTACTGCTCGGGGGCGCCGTGCAGCACTGACCCATCTGTCTCCCACTGTCCCCACGCCCGCAGGGGTGACCACAGTGCTGACCATGACGACCCTCAGCATCAGCGCCCGGAACTCCCTGCCCAAGGTGGCCTACGCGACAGCCATGGACTGGTTCATCGCCGTGTGCTACGCCTTCGTCTTCTCCGCGCTCATAGAGTTCGCCACCGTCAACTACTTCACCAAGAGGGGCTGGGCCTGGGACGGCAAGAAAGCCTCGGAGGCAGCCAGGATCAAGGTACCGGCTTTCCTCTCCAGACCCCTTGGCCGAGAAAGCAAGCCCGGTCCATGTCCACGCACGGGACAGGCGCCTCCCCCCCCTGCCCAGCCCCAAACAGCCCCTCCGTCCCAGCTGCGCCCCGTATGAAGTCTGCTTTCAACAGGTGCCTTCTCTAGTCGGCCTTCAATAACGAACTTTGCTCAGGCAAGAGTCTGAACTGGTGGGAACAGCTCAGGCTTTCTCACCCTCCAGCCTTATGTTTTTTGCAGAAGTAACTCCAGCCTCCTTGCCTCTTCAGGGCCACCTGTTGAGTTTTAAATTGCACCGTTCATTCTTCTTTCTGAAAGCTCTGCACTTGCCAGAGATGCCTCATTAACAGTCATGCCGCAGCCCCTTCTCATCTCCCCCTGCTCTGGGGATTCGAGGCACGCATGCACATACACCCGGCATGACTCTCAAGTCACCAGGTCCAGGACACGAACCGCTGGTTGGCCATGTGGAATCCAGCCGCTTCAACCTCCAGACCATAGGGCCGGCCCCTGTGCGACCCATTCTTTGCTTGTTCTTGCACCACTTTGCCAGGCAGGGGGCTTCTTCAGGGCCGTGTTCCAGTCATGAAGAGGCCCACGGCCTCTTAGTAGGGACATGTCAGCCACATGCCTGGGCTGAGTAAGGAGCCACCCCATGCCCGCGTAGGGGAGTAGCTGAGGAGAGGAGGACACCATTCAGACAGCCACCGAGGAGTTGAGGGGCCCTGTGTTTGCAGCCTCCTGCCTCAGCCTCCCCGCCGGGACTGTGGGCACGCCAACACGCCTGGCTCTCTATGCGTGCTTTAGGCCGGGTCTCTCTGTTGCCCAGGCCAGGCGAGCTCGTGGTCCTGCTGCCCCAGCCTCCCGAGTCTCTGGGAGCCGAGGTGCATGTCACCGTGCCCAGCTTTTAGGCTAAACCCAGGTCTCCCACGTGGCCAAGCCCGTGCGGCTCAGTGTCCTGGCAGTGCACACCGCCGTGCCTGGGCCTGACCCGTGACGTTCAGTCCCCTCTCATCCCCTTCCCTACAGGCCATTCCCTGGAGCTGCCCTACACCCACACGCACCATCCACTCCTGCGGCCACACTGAGCGGCGAGAAGCACCAGCTGCCCCGTTAGGGAGTCCTCGCGGCGTGGACGCTGGGCTCTGAGCAATGCCAGACACGAGTGTCAGCAGCGTTGGCTCGTGCCCTGGTCCCGTCTGCGGGCCGCGTGGTCACAGACCTATGAACCGGGGTGACTGCCGCTGTCAGGGCCAGGCTGCTGCTCCGAGAGCACCCCGGCTGGCGTGCCCTTACACCCCGGTTATGTTTTACAGAAGAAGGAGCGTGAACTCCTACTGAGTAAGTCAACAAACGCTTTAACTTCCGGGAAGATGACCCACCCCCCAAACATCCCCAAGGAACAGACCCCAGCGGGGACCTCGAACGCCTCTTCAGTCTCAGTCAGGCCGGAAGAGAAGACTTCGGAAAGCAAAAAAACCTACAACAGCATCAGCAAGATCGACAAGGTGTCCCGGGTCGTGTTCCCGGTCCTGTTCGGCACCTTCAACCTCATTTACTGGGCCACGTACTTGAACAGGGAGCCGGTGATCAAGGGTACTGCCTCGCCCAAGTAGGCCACAGCCCGCCCAGCGCGGGGACGGCGGTGCGGCCGCGAGTGGGACTGTGGGGAGCAGGGCTCGGAGGGGCCCGCCGCGCTCGGGCACTACCGTTCAGGAAATTTTTGCATGTTTAATAATATGTACAGATAATATTGCCTTGATGTTTCTATATGTAACTTCAGCTGTTTCGAAGACGTCACATTGAGAAATAAAGCAAACACCTTTCTAGAAAAACCGGAGACAACTCTCTGAGGCTCAGACGCTCGGGATCTTACACTATAGTTTACAAACAAGATAAGTCTATTTTTAACTGTTCTAAGCGTTACCTAACAATGTTTTTATACTTCAGATGCCATTTCATACACATTTCCCAGGGCGTAAATATTCTAGGGACTGCTCCGTGACTAGTACCTGCCCACCGCGTGCGAAGCCACGGTCACAAGGAACACGTTTTTCCGCGGCTGGGAAGTATCGCCTCTGATCATTCTTACTGTTCTGGAACCATAAATGCACTGCATGAGCTCACACGAAGTAGAGTAGGCAGCCATTTACGCAGACAAACCGACTAACGGATACACAGTGTGACAGACGGACACGGGGAATATTTCCCCAAGAAGAATTTAACTGCTTTAAAAATTCTTTTTCTTTTTAAAAGAAATGGATTTCTCAACTCACTCTACACACCCCACTAGCAGAACAATGACCAGGGAAGGAAGGGGGGACGTTCCTGGCACTTGGCCGGCGTGTCTACGGTCTGTGGACATCGACCGCCTTTCGCGGCTTCAGCGACGAGAGGCCGAAACAGTTCTTTCCCACTCTCCTCCCTTGTATGTATTTCACGACTGACTGACTGCTCTGTTAGCTTTTGTATATGAATCTTAAATGTTCATTAAAAAATTTAAAAATAAACTGGTCTTGTGTTTGCATAAATTTGCTTTAATTTGTATTTGGTGGACTCAAACGATGCAGAAGAAACCTCTAAGAAACTGCATCATGAAACTGCGTGGGAGGAATACCCAAGGCCGCTCTCACTCGGTGGCCCCCCTCTGGTCCAGCCTGCCTCAGTGGGGACACTAGAGGACAAAGATCACGAGGTCAGACCACCCTCGTGGTGAGACGAGGTGCGGCTCTGGGGACAGAGTCTCCCCCGAGGTGTCTCCAGGATGCACACAGGGACTGTGCGGTCCCAGCTGTTCTGACAGTGACACGGAGCCCTGAGTCAGGGCTGCCGTCTCACTGCTGAAGAGGGTCCAGCGTCGGCAGTCTGAACGGAGCACCTTCTGCTCCTGCACCACAGGGCCACTATGGGGGACATGACCGGCAGCAAGTGACAGCAGAATACGGCCTATCACTGTCCACCAGGGGCTCTGGCTCTTTTTATTTAATTTTTCCGTTTGCCATAGGGTGTGTCCCCCGCCAGAGAGAGAGACAGGGAGGGAGAAAGAGAAAGTGAGATGTCATCCTCTAAGGGGGATGGCTAAGCCACTCTTGGAGTGCTTCTCTAGCTGCCGGGTCTGGGACTCGAACCCCACAGTTGGCCATGTGGGATCCAGCCACCGTAACCACCATACCACCTGGCTGCCCTGTGGTCTTGTGCTTCAACTATGCAGAGAGCTGCCTTGAGGGTCCCAGCAGTAGAAGGGGAGGGTGGACAGCAAAGGTGCTCTTCTGTGATCACGAAAAGCACGTCCCCACCCCGGAGGACGACACTCCTGCAGAATGCTGATTCCTATCCCGCAGAACAAAAGGAAGCCCCACTCTACAGCGGCCCTGTTCTCTGTTCTCATTCACGGTTTAGTTACGCTCCTCTCTGCTCTCCACAGTTTAGCTCGGACTGTCCTTCAGGGAAAAGGACATTGTAGTTACGCCCGGACAGCTACACGTGTAAACACCCAGGATGACATCTCAGTCCTGGTGGGAAATGATGTCTTCCCCGTCAGGGTGAGTCGTTCTCCCGGGAAGCTTCAGCCCTTGTCCTGGAGAACCCGTGACGGGCACCGGGGGGAAGACAGGCCCCTGCACTTACGAGCCACCAAGCCTGGACTCTGGTGCACATCGAGAGGGAAAACCCTTCCGTTTGCCACTCTCTGATTCTGTGTTGGAGATATTTCGGTGTTTGTTACTTTTAACGAGAACATAATAATCACCTTGGGGGAAATGATAACCAGGCAAGAAATAATCATTTCTGATGAGGATAATAAATTACAGCGTCCTACTTTTAGAATCGGGGTATTTAAATGCATCGCTCCTGACGTCACTATCAATAGAAAGAGAAAACATTCAAGGAAGTCAGCGGTCTCTTATTTCCATGCTTTCCCAGGGAGCTGAGGGCCGTCCCAGGCAAGCCATGGCCGCCGCTGGCCTAAGAGTGAGTGTTCGTACACCATAACTGGGCTCGTGCCTGTGGGGTAACTGCCAGAGGTGAGACAGCAAGGAGGTCGTGGACCTCTCCCCCATCTGCCAGGTGGGTGCCGTAGAACAGTCTCTCACGGACCAGTTACGGGGATTCGGTACAGAGGGCGCCCCATCGCCACGGCACAGCGGGGTTCTGCACCCACAGAGGCTCAGCATCCCATCACAAGGTGGGAGGCAGTGCGGGCCTAGTTCCACATCCCTAACTCTGCGTCCACAACTCTGCGTTCACAAGACCACGCAACCACTTCCAGATGGAAGTTGATTAGAATGAAAATGTAACCTGATGGAAAACTCCTGCTTCAAGTCCTGGTTGAATGATTATCTATTCAGAATGCCCTGGAGAGAATTTGTCTCCTTGCACAGAAAACGTGATCTGTAGGTCTGTCCCTGCCTCTAGCAAACGTGTGCTTCGGTGGCCTTAGAAACCAGCTGTGGCGGGTGGACTTGTGCTGGGCTGGCACGTGTCTCACCCCCGCCCAGCAGAGACAGCAGCACTGTCACCTGGGCTGAGTGTCCTGATGTGAGTGATGGCGGTGGCTGTCAGGAAGGTCCTGCCTTAAGGGAAGGCACAATGGCCTCTGGCGTGGAGTCTTCAATCAGCATTAGCCTCCTTTGTCCCTCTGCGTTCCAAATAAAAAACCTTTTCTTGGGAAGACTGGAAGGCACGGTTCGCTCAGTGAAAACAGTATTTTAGCTATTTAACTATTAGTCTCAACATCTTTTATAACACTAGCACATCTGGGACAGTCAATACCGCAAGTCAACACGGCGAATATCTGAATATGGATTCCTCCCATCACTGCAATTACCTGCAGGTTTGCAGCGATATAAGGTAATGCTTTGGAAGTTGCAAAAAGGTTCCTTTCATCACGGATTTGCATGATTGTCTGTTTGCCATTGTCATTTCGACAGGCCATCTCAACCCTAAACTCAAATGCTCTGTAGCCCGTTTTAGAATGAGAAAATAGGTTCATAATGGAAACTTGTGGCTCAAAAAAATATTTCCTCTGGAGAATTTCCATAATACACAAATCTGAAGAGTTAATCAGAAAAAAAATGAAAATAAAAGCTGAAGGAATGAGCTCACTTAGCTTTTCTGCCTTTAGGTTGAACAACAAAGCCAGGGGTCAAGACATTGCTCTACTAAGCGATGTGAGACCTTAGGACAGAGGATGTGCAAGGAGCGCTAACCGGCCCATGTGCTAAGTCCAGGCCACTGTGCTCTGAGCTCTTCGCGTTGTCACCTCTGTCTCCCTCGAGGCCAGCACTATTCCAGGCCAGTGACAGGAGCCTGGACGCGAACTGACTGAGGGGCTCAACGCAGGAAGCGGGCTGGACTGGGTTGGATGAAACCCCTTCAGGTAGTGACTGCAAATCAGTGGTCATGTTCGAACCAAAGAAAACATTTCATAAGAGTTTATAAAATAAGTATTTCGGAGATTTTATTAACCTGTCCAAAGCGGACCCAAGAATAGGGAAACAGACACACACGCTGACAGCTGTAGGGTGACCATGTAAATCTATCACCAAAGGTGAGACTTCTAGAATGGCAGGTTAGTCTTCAGCAAATCCTCTCTTCTCAAAAGGCAACCAAAACACTGGCAAGATTATCAAAAGCAATTCATTTCTTGAGAACTCCGAAGCTGTAACCAAAGGCACCCGGCAAACTGAAAGTGTTTACAGCAGAAAAGCTACTGCCCCTCAGGGGGATCAGTGAGGGCTACGGCATGGCATGTTAGCTCGGGGACGCTCCCATCTGCCGACCAGCTCCTCGGAATGGTCCCATGAACGCCAGCAGCCACACTGCCACCAGATGGGGCCCATTTGACTTGGAGCTTCATACAAAGCCCAACCCCAGGGCGCTGTCACTGTCGACTCTCCAAGGAGAAGTTTATCCCCAGGGCATCGCCAATGACAGTCACAACCAGCCCTGCCAAGAAAAGTCAACCCTGCGGCTTCCCAAGGCAGTGACACCAGTGGAGGCAAGAAGAGACAGGCGAGATCAGGACAGGACGCCTAGGAGGTCAGACCTAACCCAGGGTGGGCTCTGGAAGCCTGAGTACACGCCTGGGGCTGTGTGAACAGTCAAAGGAGGTCAGACAGTCCTAGTGACTGAGGCCTCCCGGGCAGACCCTGAGGGCCTATGCAGTTGAATAGTAGTAAGCCATGATCGTAATGGTTCAAATGCATTGAATAAAATAAGAAGCCGCGAGCCCATACTGAAAACAACAGCATAGGAAGAGGGAAAGTGTTTCCTACAACACAATCCCAACTGATAGACACAGAGGAGCAGTGAAGATAGAAAACCAGCATTTTACAACCGGCAGGCAAAGATCGCTGACGCACGTTAAGTGGAACAGTTAGACCCTGGCCCAGCCACGGGAGCTCAGGCAGCAGAGTGCCAGAGAGCCTCACTGGAGCTACGTGGAAGGCCCAGGTCGGAGTCTGGGTGAGCGTGTCCGCAGCAGCCGTGCATGGGACCCTGGCTGGCTGGAAGGGTTAGGGTTTGGATCCTGGGTGAGCGTGCCTGCAGTGGGCATGCGTGGGACCCTGGCTGGCTGGAAGGCCCGGGTTTGGATCCCGGGTGAGCGTGCCCACAGAGGACGTGCGTGGGACCCTAGCTGGAAGGCCTGGGGAGACTGCAGTGTGGTGGGTCTTCTGCTTCCTCTCCACCTGCTCTCTCTCGAAATAAATAATTTTTTAAAAAAACTTCTAAGAGAAAAGCTAAATATAAGTGGTCTTCAAAACATTCATAGAAAATGCATATTCTGGAATAACTACACATGGATTTCCATTTTTTTTTTTTGGCACCAAAATAAACACGGACTTTCATTCCATTGTCCCACAACTGTCTGAAGGGCTCTGTATCCTCAAATGCTTTAACCAAAGAATTACTAACAACTTAAAAAGAAAAAAGCACGAGCGTACAGGAGAGAAGCTGGGCACGAGCAGCTGGCCAGGTGACCTAGGCTCCTGGCCCTGCGTGCCCTGTGGGAGGCGGCCCAGAAGGCGCAGGCTGGACCGCAGCTCTGCTCCAGCACACGACCCGGATGTGGTCAGAGAAACAGCAGGGCGGGCTCCAGCTGAGGGGCCGCGATGCAGCTCAGCCCCACTGACACCACCCAAGCCCCCGAAGACCAGGAGAGGTCAGGAGCTCTTCGAGAGTACAGACAGACTGAAGGCATGTGGTAACTGCCAAAGTACATGTCCAGATGGGGACCTGGACCTTACGGGAGAAAACCCCACTGAAGACATCGCTGGACAGTTAGGAACATCAGACTACAGGCTGTAGATCAGGTCGTTTAACATGACCTCAAATCTGTAGAGTCTCACGGATTTTTTTCAGAAGTGTGTGACTATCTCAGAGACAATAGCTTGAAGAGTTGGAGAGAGTTCTCAGGCTGATGTATGGAAATGCAAACAACCTAGCACGGCGAGCACCAAAACTCACAGAGGTAAGTGTCGGGAACGATTTTAAAAGTGCAGTATAGCTGCAAGTATAGATAAACAGGTAAAGCGAACAGGGTCCGGGAGAGGAGGACTCAGTCACCTGACTTACGGAGGTTCAGTCTCGCAGGATGGCATCGGAAATAGGTCATGCTCTTGATGGATCGAGTACTGATAGGTACGTGTACGACATAAGTATTGGTGCGTACGTAAGATCATAATCAAATTCATTAGAAATGGAGCCTCGTCTTAAAATAGGAGCTTTCTTCTAAAGCTTGTGGGGGAACACCGCAGACTCTGTGAGCTTTGGGTAGGCAGTGACTTGGTAAGTAGGACAGGAAGCAGTAATGTTCATGAAAGACACTGTTTGGAAGATGGCAAGGCAAGCAGCCAACTGAAAGAAGATATTCATCCCATGCCTGTTAGAGGACTCATGTCAAAACTAGATAAAGAGGAGCCAGCATTTGGTGTGGTGGTTACGGTGCTGGACTCCCACATGGGCAACTGTGGTTCAAGTCCCAGACCTGGCAGCTTAAAAATGACACTGGGGGGGGAGCAGCAGTTAGCGTAATGGCTATGTTGCTGGACTCCCATGTAGCCGACCGCGGTTTGCATCCTGGACCTGGTGTGCATGCGTGCCCAAGATCCCAAGAGGAGAACGGAGGAGAAGGGATTGCGGCATGGCCATCCCCCCTGGAGGGTGATTTCTCGCTTTCTGTCTCTCTGTCTCTGTCTGTCTGGCGAGCGCACGCGCCCTATAGCGAAAACCTCTCCAAAAAAAAAAAAAAAAAATATATGCATGTGCATGTGGGTCCAAAATCCTGGGAGGAGACTGGAGGAGAAGGGACTATGATGCAGCCATCCCCCGGAGGGCGATTTCTCATTTTTCTCCCCTCTGTCTCTGTTTTGCTTTCTCTCCAGCAAGCACATGTGCCCTGTGGCCAAAAAAAAAAAAAAAAAAAAAAAAAATCTTAAAGCAAAACTACATAAAGAGGACCCGCTGGACCCACCTGGGAAAGGTTGTGTCCAGGGTCCAGGGACTGGATGGATGGATGGATGGAGGTCTCTGTGTCTATCATTCTCTCTCTCTCACAGAAAATAATTAAACCAACTTTAAAAAATATACAGAGATTCTACAGACAACAAAACCGACAGGTTAGTTTTAAATGGGCAAAGCACTTCAGCAGCGCTTTGCAAAAGGAGGAACTCCAGTGTCGGGTAAGAACTGGGAAGAGCTGGGAGTTAGGAGCAGGACGAGACAGAGCGGCTTTGAAGACGGAGAACGGCAAGGCCGCTCCCATGGCGTGCTGAACGGGGCGCACACGTGGTCCGTGGTGCAGAGCGGTAATGTTCACGTCACCAACCGATGCCCTTCCTCTGATCTAGAGATTCGGTTTTTTCAGATAACAATAAAAATGAGATGCGAGAATACTATTCATGACACCCCGAGTTCCAAACGACCAGACATGACCGGCCTGGGCACACACGTGTGTGTGACAGTCACATAGTGAGCCCCACGTGAGGTGCCAGAGCAGGCGACGCCAGTCCGTGAGCACTCAGCTACCTGGGTGGGTGTGGACTTCGAGGAGAGCCCAGGTGGGGAAGGGACGCAGTGGGTGAGATGTGAGAGCCCCAAAGCTCACCCTATGCATGGAGTTCACAAATATCGTCACACCCAAGTAAACTCATGGTTTAACTGCGTCCATGAAGCCTTCTGGTCCCCTGGCACACTCGCTACTCTATACGTGTGCTCCTCCACATACAACACGCCACAGAGCCCTCCTTCCAAGGTCAGCGTGTCGGATGTGTGTTGCCCTTGGCATCGTTTTTCTAAGGAAAAGGGAAGGGTGCTTTTCCGAAGTAAAACTGAAACGTACCCAGGATGTGAAGTACAGTGCGGGGGTGGCGAGGTTGCGCTCGGCCACAGGGGGAGGTGGGCTGTAGGGCGCACCCAGCAGCACAGCCACCTCCGCTCCTGCGGCCGGAGCAGCAAAGTCAGGCTGTGGGAGGAATCCTGAGAGGCATTTCTCCGAGGAGCCGCCAGAGGATCCTGCAGCCAAGGCAGCCATCCCCGCTGCCCTCTCTGCGGCTTCCCGCCTCCTGCCTAGATGCCTTTCAACCACAAGGGCGTGGTCAGTGCTCCCAGGGCCCTGGCGGGGCTGCACCTGAGCCAGAAGGGCAGAAGAGTCTGTGACTGGGTTCTGTGCACCCTTCCCCACCCAGACCTCTTAGGGTGAAGCAGCAACCGCGGGCCCTCTCACTTACTTCACTCCCTTATCCTGCACACCTGGAGAAGCCACGCAAATCCTGTGCACCGGAGGGGAAGTGCCAGTGTCTCTGATGTGGAAGACAGGCTGAGGCAGGATGAGGGCGTCCTGCTGAGCTCCACCAAGCATCCCTGGCAGCCTGGCAAAGGAGGAGAATCAAAGCTTGGTAACTGGCTCTTTGAAGGGTCTAGACTTTGCATTTTGCCTTCACATTGACATCCAGAAAGCTTGCTTTGAATGCTTTTTTTTAAAGAAAAAGATTTATTTACTTAATTTTACTTGTAATTGTTATTACGTTTTTAATTTGACCACAGAGAGAGAGAGAGAGAGAGAGAGAGAGAGGGCAAGTGAGAAAGCAAGCCGCCAGGTCCAGGACTCGAACCACAGTTGGCCATGTGGGAGTCCAGCACTGTAACCAGCACGCCACCTGCCAGCCCCTTTATTCCCTTAGCTCATTTAGTTTTTTAATTGTTTGTTTTTAAATCTTGTTCCAGACTGCACTATGGTGTGTGGTTTTCAGGGTAAAACGCTCAGGTGCACCTGCTGACCCCCTGCGGCTGATGATCGGTGAGTGCATTCCCACCCCAAGAGGTCAGGCCCCTCTGTCCCTAGTAAGGGACACACTAGCACATGCAGGGAAGGAGGAGAAGGCTACACAGGGTGAAACTGAGCATCGCAGCTTCTCCTCCGCTGATTTAACCATGCGTCCATCAGTCAATCCCAGACACTTGTCACTGTACCGACAGTGGACGGAACCATGCCAGGGCCAGTCTGTCTCGGGTCTGTACACCTGTGAGCTTCGCATTCATGCTTGAAACAGCGTGGCCTGCAGAACGAGGCTGAAAGCTCTGCTCAGGCGATGAACCAAACGGAACACGGCACTGAGCTCCTACTCAGAGGCAGGACGGCCTCAGTCCCCAGGTGTCAGCCCTCGAGCTGTGTGATCGCGGGGAGGTGACTTAGCTTCTCTGTGCTTCTCCGCCTGAGAACTAGGAATAATGTCTGGAGAGTTAAAATGGGTCCTCTTCTACTACCGCTGTTGAAAGGTTATTTTTCCCTATGTTTCTAATACTGTGTTAAAATGGACGTGCAAAAGAATTGCTTTTCACTCGCAACTTTCTGACAGCACACTTAAAAACCAGGTGGCAACTTGCCATTCTTGTACAACCAATCGAGGAGCCATAAACCATCTGATATTTTTTGGTGGGGGGAGAGATTTTTGCCATAGGGAGCATGCGCTCACTGGAGAGACAGAGACAGGCAGACAGTGAGAAACAAGCCCACGGGGGTGGCCATGACGCAGTCTCTCTGGGATTTCGGGCACGCACACACGCGCCCGGTGTGAGTTCTAGGCCACCAGGTCTGGGACCCAAACCCGGTCAACTACCTGGGAGTCCGGCCAAGTAACCAGTACGCCGCCGGCGGGGCCCGCTAACTGAAGCGTCGGACTTGTGCTCAGCCCAGAACGTCAGAGATTGGGCCCGAGGATGACGGAGGCCGCAGTCCTCCGACGCTT